GCCTTTGTTAATAATATTCTTTAAAACCTGGTGTCTTTTTTCTTTGGGGCAGGTTTTGAAGCTCTGCTTTACTGTCCCCTCCTTTGTGATACTATCCTTAATTCCTCCAGCTGGGAGAAGATATGAGGGGCGTCAAAATGTTCATGGAAAATGTGTCTTATAAAAAAATTATCCATGGACTTCAAAATTTTTTGCACCAAAATAAGCTTTCAATTTCATTTTCCATGAATTCTTTGGAATACTCTCATAGAAGTTTAAAGGCAAATCTGAAATACTGTTTCTCTCTACAACCTTGTTATCTGGCATCTATTCTACATCCAATACTCAGATAAACCAAATAAACTGGTTCTGTCCCTGGATACTCTCAAATTGCTTCTTGCTATCACTCACCTGATGCCTATGTTTGAAAATGGACTATGGTGTAGGCAAATTTTATGGGCAAAATTGAAAATCTTATAGAAAACAGGTTGGGCTGAAAGTATACATAATGGGAGCTGGTGCTGTGGCGTAGCAGGTAAAGCTGCTGCCTGCAGTGCCAGCATCCCTTATGGGCACTGATTCGAGTCCTGTCTGCTCCACTTCTGATCCAGCTCTCTGTTATGACCTGGGAAAGCAGTAGAAGATGGCCCAAGTCCTTGGGCCCCTGCACCCATGGGAGACCTGGCTCCTGGCTTCAGACTGGCACAGCTCTGGCTGTTGCAGCTAACTGGGGAGTGAACCAGCGGATGGAAGACCTCTCTCTCTCTCTGCCTCTCCTTCTCTCTGTGTAACGTTTTCAAATAAATAAATAAATCTTTAAAAAAATATGCATAATGGTAAATTTACACATATGAATAAATAAAACTTCTGGGAAATGTCTTTTTCCTGCTTTTATTGGTATCAAAAAACTTCTCCAGAAGGTAACTCTTCCCCAAAGTCACATTCTTCTGAATTGTTTGCAATTTAGCAAAATGCCAAGCATACTGTAATGACTCAATACAACTATAGCTAACATCAAAAGTAGTATATAATCATGCTTTCCCCATAATTTGGAATTTTAAAAGGAGATTGATTTATTTACTTATTTGAAAGGCAGAGATAGAGACAGAGATACAGAGACAACTCTTCCATCATGAGCTCACTTCCTAATCGGCTGCAACAGCTAAGTGTGGACCAGGCTAAAGTCAGCAGCCAGGAACTCCATCTGGGTCTCCCAGGTAGGAGGCAGGGGCCCAGGGACTTGGCCATCATGCACTGCCTCCCCAGGTGCATTAGCAGGAAGGATGGGCAGTGACTCAGCTGAGACGTGAACTGGCACTGGTATATGGGATGCCAGCATCATAAGCAGCTTAATCTGCGGCACTACAAGGCCAGGCCCCATGCTTTAGTGTTCTGACAGATCTGAGTTCAAGATCTGCCTTTGGGATTTATTAGCTGGGGACTCTTAGCAAATCATGTGAGTTTTAGGTTCTGTATCTTTAAAAGGAGGGTTAAAATGTGCCTATTGTAGGATTTTTGTTAGAATGATAAAGTGCCTGGCATACAGTAGAATAGTGGATAAATGTTAGCTACCATCATTCAACTTTTAGAAATACGGTGGGCTGAAGCTGATGCACCCTGTATGTAGTGGGAATATAAATCTGGATTTCCAAATCAGACTTTCTCTAAGATTCAGTTCTCATTTCCAAATGACTCTTTGATACTACGCCACTGTACTTCATCATTAAAAATATCCAAACTGAACCCAGTATTTTCTTTTTAAAACACACCCTCTCTTCTTCTTATATACCAAATCTCATCTAACAGTATATTGTTTGAAACACAGGATAAACCAGGGAGTTATCTTAAGAGTCTTTCCTTTTCTCATATTCTGCATTTTAGAGATTCCTGTTGATTCTACATCTATAAATATTTAAAATCTGTTTTCAACTCTACCTTCAAGCAACCATTTTCTCTTGCCTAGATCAGCCTGTTCAAAATCTCTTCCTCTTTTTATAACTTGTCTAACACACTGCTCACATCAATGCAGATCATACTGCACCTATGAGTAAAGCCCTGTCGAGTTAGGCCCTGGTTTCTCACAGCACATCCAAATCATGATGACATCACTTCCTGGGTTTTCACGTCTGCCTCTTCTACAAACACTCAAATTCCTTAAGGTAAGAGATGATGTCATCGTCAGCATATAACAAAAACAAAAGATATGAAATGAAGACCTCTATTGTACTTTAATAAAAACCATTTAATCAACATTACCCTGCTCCTGTCCACCACTATATAGAGCGCCTGGCAGCCTTGTGCAGCTGCAGAGTGAGACCTTTTGTGTAGTTAAATGATGCCTCCAGTGTTATGCTTCCTATCTCTGTGTGCCAAAGATACTGATATCTCTCCTGAATTTCCCACAAATCATCTGAAATGAACATGGAAATGAATTCATTTCCTTTGCTTACTGTAGGCATCAGTACCACAAAGCCTGCATGTGAAAGCCCTGAATTTGGAATGCAGTTTATTAATCAGAACATCACAGGTCAAGAAGTATATCCACGAAGGCCTGACACCCAGTAACTGTGATCCTAATGTCTGCCATATACCTTCCATCTCCAACACTAATCATATTCACTATCATGCTAAAAAAAAAAAGGATCAAAGTCCTAGTTACGTTGCAACTGAAAAATAAATCAAGCAAGCATTCAAATTCGTATTGAACTTAAATGACAGATATGTTAGCTTGTTTTAGAAGTTCACAAGCCTTGAAACTAAAGTAGAAAAGAAAATCACAGGCGTGAACCACTGCCTGAAGTCTCTTTCTAAACACAACACAGATATTTAGCTTCAGTTTCTTGAAGGTATAACTGCGAAAATGTAAATAAAAGGTAGCTTTTCCAGCACCTACTGAAAATTTAAAGAACGATAAATAATTGGTGATAATGTTGACTTAGAATGATCTACTCAAGTGAAAATTATTTCCTACCTAGTCTTTATCAACCTGAAGGATACAGTCCCCCAAAGAAAGGTAGAATATGAGGAAAATGTAACTTGGGGCCAGCGCTGTGGCTTACTAGGCTAAGCCTCTGCCTGTGGTGCCAGCATCCCATATGGGCGCGGGTTCATGTCCTGGCTGCTCCTCTTCTGATCCAGCTCTCTGCTATGGCCTGGGAAAGCAGTGGAACACGGTCAAAGTCCTTGGGCGCCTGCACCCAGGTGAGAGACCCGGAAGAAGCTCCTGGCTTCAGACGGGCCGAGCCATTTGGAGAGTGAACCAGTGTATGGAAGTTCTTTCTTTCTGTCTCTCCCTCTCTCCCTGTAACTTTACGTCTCAAAAAAATAAAATAGATCCTTATAGTTTGGTCACTTGAAAAAAAATGTGACTCCATCCACATTTGCCATAGGCAATATTACAAATAAAAGAATCCTGCCATTGTGCCTCCATTAACTGCACTCTGGATACTAATCCTGCCTGTAGGGTAACATTATAAAACAGAAAAATAACATTATCTTGTTTATGCAAACCTCTCCAGAGTTTGAGACACGGCTAATTTTTGAAAAATATTCCTTTGAAAGCCAAAATTATGATCTAATGTGTATATATAATGTATATATAAATTACTTGCAAATACTGGTTGTATCTCTCAAAGCAATTCTAGACGTCGGATATCCTACTGTGAAAGAAATGCAGATGCCCAACACTGAGGAAATAATAAAAAGAAAATTCTGTTGGCGTAACAAATCATTCCACTTTCTACTTCCAACGGAAAGAACCCGGGGGCGCGAACCCCTCCGCAAAGAGGGGAAGAACGCGCAGAACCGAGTCCCGGCGCCTTCGGAAGCCGGCGGGAACACGCACCTTGCACTCCAGGCACAGCGCCCCCGGGGGACGCGATACACTGCAAACGCAGTCCCAGGGAATGCTGGCAAGCGGCAGCGCCCAGAGACCCCCGGACTGCCGGGAAGACCCCCGCAGGTGGCCTCGTCCCTCCGGGTCCACACACCGCGGCCTGGGGTCCGGCTCGGGAGCGGCAGACGCTCCTCCCTAGAAACCGCGTCACGTTTCCGCTTTTTAAAAACAACGCAGCCACTCTCGCCCTCCACCCCGGCCTGGATCGCTCCTCGAATGCCCCCAGTCTGGACCGGGCAGGTTCTGCAGGGAGAAGCGGTCTCGGTGCCAAGCCAGGGAGAGGCCCCAGGGCCACGCCAGCCCCCCGACCCCCGTCGGTAGGTCACCTGGAAGGGCGACCCCAGCCCGGGCGGCGCCTCATCCAGAAGCGGCGTCTCCCCGCCCCAAGTCGATCGCCATCACCTCCTTCTTTCCCTGGCCTCCGCCTGCGCTTCTCACCGCAGCCGCAGCCTCCCCGGAAACCGCTAGCATCGCCGGCGCCCACGCGCCACTTCCGCCTATGTGTCCCGGCGCGCTTGCGCAAGCGCGCGGCCCCGCCCCCTCGCGCCTCGGGCGGACGTCGGCGCGCGCCGGGAACTCCCTCGCGCATGCGCCATCGTCTCTGGAGGAGGCGGCGGCGGGGGAGTGGGACTGGGCATGGCCGCGGGCCGCGGTGGGGCGGTACCGCTGTGGCTCACCTCTGCCCTAGCAAAGCGGCGTCGATCCTGTCAGAGTCTCTCCATCCTGTTAGCTCCCAAGCCTCTGCCGCTCCCGGGGGTGCAGTCGCCTCGTGTGCCCAGCCCTGAGGTGCCCACGAGGGAAGTGGCCCTGGGAGGAGGCGGCCGCGAGCAGAGTGCGTCACCTGGACTTAAAAAGCCCGAGTCCTCCTCTTTCCCTCCCGCGTACCTAAATGAGACGTAACAAATCCGCAGAACCCTTGTGTGCCTCGGTGTTCTCAGCGGAATGGTACCTGCGGGCCCGCCGAGGGTGCATGACGTCACACTCGGGTCCCTTCTGACGTGGGGTGATCCTGGCCCGGACCAGAAACGTGGCCGGCCACTGCGCCGCTTGGGAAGTAAGCCCCACAGGTTGAGGACTGGTTCCGACTTCAGACGTTGAACACACGTAGGAACACGTTTGCAGTCACTTTACGGTGTGAAATGCGACACACGAGGTCGTTGAGTTGTTTTTAAGAAACAGAATGGTGTGGGAGGAAGATGCTACTTTCATGAGGACGCTCGAAGTTTGAGAAGACGGACGATTTTTGAAACATGATTTGGAACCCAGAGCGAGAGGACTTGGATTAATGTTTATGCCACCACGCACACCTTTTAAAATTGCACAGGTATGCGAGAAGGGCAAGACTTGTGTCTTGCATTGAGAGTGATGGTTTGTACTGAAGCAACCTGTGTTTCCTAAGTGGCAGTGAGGAAAAAAAAAAAGGGTCTGGTGAGGTATTTTCCTTTAATACTTACCCGCGCTTTTAGACCAGTGTTACCATCGTTTTACAAATGTTGTTACTGAGGCTTAGAGAACTTAATTTCCTAAGGAGACTCAATGATAAGGCATTTCAGTGATGCCTTAATGTCCTTGAATAACATGGATTTAATACCCATTTATAGCATAGCTATACCATAGTTATTAAGCATCTATAAAGCAGGCATATTATAGGTCACATACATAATTCATAAATTAAACACATGAGCTCCTTGCCCTCAAGGGGTCCTGGGATACACTTGAGAAGGTAAATGGTGGTATAAAAAACTTACAGTACAGGAGGTGTTACAAGGTGCCAGCTACTCATGCCTGCACAATAACCGTAGCGTTCAGACTCCAAACTTTAGTTCCATGTGGCAGCTGGAGTTATCCTTGCAGAACCTGTGACAGAATATAATATGCCAGGCCTCATTTCAGCCATGGAAGGCTCTACCCTTTTATTCAGATTAAAGTTCAGAACCTTTTCCACGGCTATTCGGGCTGAACTTGTTCTTGATGGTTCACATCCAGGCTACTCTTCAGAGCGCATCGAACCATCTCCAAGCACACCAAGCATCAGTGCTTTTCATCTTCTGTTCCCGCCTGGAACACGGCCTTCTCTGATACCCACAGGGCTTGCTTCTTCACTTCTTTCCTGTCAAGTGCCCAAGTGTCTGCTGATTATAGCTCTTCTCTGACTACCCTATCTGCAAAATATTTGCGCATGTCAAATGTGGGATTATGGAGACAATCTGGGATATTTTGTTATACAGAAAGTATTTAAAAAATATTGAATCCCAGTTTCTGCCCACTTACTCCTATGATAACCATAGGGTGAACCAAATTAAAGACTTGTAGCTATGAATTTGTTTTCAACTTCTAAGAAATTGATGATCCCATTGTGTCAGAAACCTTTGTTGTCCTCACCCATTCTGCATATCATCTCTAATCCCCCCTCCTTTCTTTCTTTCTTTCTTTTTTTTTTTTTATAAAAGATTTTTTTGTTTGAAAATCAGAGTGACAGAGAGGAAGACACACAGAAAGAGATCTTCCATCTGCTGGTTCACTCCCCAGGTGACTGCAAAAGCAGGCATTGGGCCAGGCTGAATCCAGGAGGCTGCAACTCCACCTAGATCTCCCCTATGGGTGGCAGGAGCATAATTACTTGGGCCATCTTCCACTGCTTTTTCCCAGTCACATTACCAGGGATCTGTATCTGAAGTGGAGTGGCTGGAACTCCACCCTGCATTCAGATATGGGATGCTGCTGTCACAGTAGCAGTTTAACCATGCCAACCCTATCATTTCTGATTTCTAACTTAGGAGGACACAAGCATCCATGCATTTCTCCCTGACGGTATCTGTTTTCTCAAATTTACCAGGACTGGTTGCTTTCCGCCTGAAGATTCTCTTGACTTTGCTGGTGCCAGCCGTAGCTCTCTCAGCTCATGTCACGCAGTTTTGAAGTGTTGGTAAATTAACACATCTGGAACCCTTCAACCAAGGGGCAACTGTAGGCAGTGGATAAACACTCCTGCTTCTTATCCTCTGAAAAAATAATTTTGTAGGCCATATTGTGTCTTTTCAAGAAGTCCCAAGGAAACAGAGTTCTGTTGCCCACAGCAGCAACATCAGTAGCACAATTAAGATCATCTTCCACATCCTTTTCCATCTTCCCTCACTACTTCTCCCTAGAATCCCCTCCCAAATAACTAGCCTTTATACAAGTGGATATCATAGGTTTTGGTTTTGGGGGCGTTCAAGCTAAGAAGGTTGATGTGAGAAAAAAGACTAAAACATAGCCCCACAGAACAGGGTTACTGTCCATTGTGATAAGTAGGGTAGCCATACACCCTGGCTTGCTCTGGCATCACAATTTTAGAGACAATGTCTTGGAACTAGGATCCCTGATTTTAATAGGAATGACAAGGGTCATAGGATTCTAGAATAGCAGAAGACCTAGGGAAACATTTAGCTCACAAAACTGAAGCTTATGTAGTTTCCATAGCTAGCAGAAAAAAAAATCAGAGTGTCAAGCAGGTCACCTTGACCTTCAGGCTTGTATTCAAAGTGTCCCTAAGGGCAAGACAGAAGACAGCCTAAGCATATTATTTGCCTTGAAACCAGAAAAACAGAGGAATTAGAAGGGAAAATGCTGACCTCAGCTCTTTCTCTAAAAGTAACCTCACTACCGGAACCATCAGTTGTGGGAGACTCAGATACCTTGAGGAAGAACCCTGTAATGCAACTGCATGACTCTTAAATAGGAGTTCCCCCAATTATATGTCCTATGGGTTCTGAGCCGTCATCCCCAGGACTCACATATACACACAGTGTGGAAAGTAAATCAATAGATCTTCAAGGGCTCTTTGGCACAGTAACTAAATTTGACACTAGTACCAAGAGGCTTGGTGATAAAAGGAGTTCTGGCCACAGTTTGTCTCTCAGCATGTCTGTTGAGTCTGTGGACTACCCAAGGGCATGTACTTAACAGCTGACAGAGCCCTCTCTGATACTGGGTAAAAGTTATGGTGGGATGGGCCAAGTGGAATATTTTGGAATCTGTCCTTCCAGGTCCAAGATAGAAAATCAGAAGCTTATTTCACTTGGGGTAGGGAGTACAGTATGGGGGTCAATGGTTGCACGATTGGTAGAGACATTAAAAATATGATGACTTCTGTCATTTCTCCACTCAGTTTTCCGGCCTCTGAAGAAATTGGGTGGATCACAGTGTGTGTTGGTGAACTACTGTGAACTTACCCAAGAAGGGGATACATTTCTGGATACATATAATTTATCAAAATTGGACCATCAAGTCACTCATCTTGAGGCTATAGCTGATAGTCATCTTATCCCTCTTGGACCATTCTATTACTTTTAATGAGTCTCTTTTGTGATAAAAGATTTTTTTTCTATAGTTGTGTCTTCAGATATCAGATGATGGGCTACTTTGGCTTTATTTCCAGTTGTGTGCTGTAGTGTAATTGCTCTATATCCATCCACAGCAATTGATGACAGTAGCAGTGAAGGTATTGGGTGCTCCTCTCAGACCCATCCAGGTATTCATGGATCTTGGTAGTAGCCTGTGGGCAAGGTCACTAGCTGTCAGTGTACTGTTATCGGGGTCATGAGAACACAAGCTCAAAGTTCATGCTGAAAAGGTCACTTGGGTACTCATGTTGGTCAAGCTGTGGTCAGGGATAGGTAGCTCTGGTCAAAATCTAGCAGGGACACACACAAGTCCCCGTGCTGCCAGCCCCAGGTTTCTATGCAATGGCTTGGCCTCCATCTACCTTTTCTTCCCCCAAGCAGAAGGAAAGCTTTTCCATGTTATGCTGCCTGGGCTTGGGGGAGGAATGTTGTCACCAGTCCTGTGGCTACCAGTGTCACAATGCTAAATCATACTCAGAGCCCAAAGGCCACCAAGAGTAGCCCAGCACTGAGTATGGCCAGGGTTGCTATGGGGTGCCTGCTGCTGAGGTGAATGAATAGCCTGAGGCTACTGCAGCCAATCCCAGGTGGTGCTGAACAAGAGGTACATCCATTGACTGGGGCCATGGATCACCACCTGGGACCACAGCAGGCCCAGAGGCCCTGCCTGTAGGTACTTGTCGCTCCCCCTCTTCGTGGAGGAACGACACAAGACCCTGCGCTGTTCTTTCGTCTGCTCGGCCCTCCCCGGGTTTGCTGCTGGTTCTTCCCGGGTTGGCTACTATCCCTTCCACCTCCGTGGAAGGGCAGTTCCCCCTGGCCACATTCCCCACTTCCGCAGGGGAGCGGCACACCGCCGGCCGGCTCTCTCGGGGGCTGCACGGGTTCCCTTAGATGTTCCCCATAGATGTTCCCGGTGCATGCCGTTTCTCTCCTCCTTTATAGTCCTTCTCTGCCAATCCCAACTCGGCCGCCCACACGCCGAGTACGCTGCTCTCCAATCAGGAGCAAGTCCTACAGTTAATTGGTTGAACTGGAGGCAGCTGTGCGGAAGCTGTTTACTTCTCTCCCAGCGCCATATTGTGGGAGAGCAGATGCATAGAACAAGTCTTAATTCGAGTAACTCAGTCTAGTCCGGATTGCTCCCCACAGATCCCCCTTTCTTTTTATTTTTTGTTTGAATCTTCCCAGTGGTTTTTCCAGATGCAATTCTGGGTTCACTTCATGGCCCACTGCCCCATGTTTGGAGATTTGATCCTTGCTGTCTGTAGAAGGGGTGGTGAAGACAGTCCCTTGGCACCTGCTGACAGTAAGCTGGGTTCACCTAAGACTTGCAGCGACTGGGCCCATGCTATTTTGCATATGCATGCCAAGTACATGAGAGGCTAGGGACAATGCGGGCTGAAACATTCATCTATCCTATAAGGACACAGATTTCTGCCCGATACTTTTTCAGGCCATAAGACTGTGAGTACTAGTTTGGGGATAGAAAGCCACTAGACTATTTCTGGTGCTGAGTCTTACTCCAGTGCAACTGATCTGTCTTATTCCCCAGTGGTTGAGGACTTATCTTTTCTGTCTGCCTGAGACTGGGAGAAGATTGGTAAATGCAGTCTGTTGGCTTTCCAGGCTGACTCCAAGCTGGGTTGCACACCAGTCTCACAGTTACCTGGCTCTGCATGGTCCCAGGGATGAGTGCCAAACCTGAATGATGCTGACAGCTCTATGGGCCAACATGAATCTGTTCTATCAGAGCACATGTCTCTGCCTGATGCTGGGGCATGTCTAGAGGCTGCATCTATGAGCACTGGCCTGGGGGTAGCTGTATTTCTGGTGCTGAGTTTCACAGAGGCAGGCCTGGCAGTGAGCTTCAAGACAAACTATTAAGCTTATCATCCTACCCTAGTCTCCAAGGATTGGAGTCTTGCTGTGCTGTCCATCAGAGGTTGGGGAAGGGGTGCTGGATGTTGTCCTTGGCTATCTCTAAGGAAGGTTCAAAAGGCTCAGTCTGCACTTATTGGTTTGGGGGCAGAGACCGTGGGGTGTTCTGTCCAACTCCAGAATTCACGGTAGCTGAGCTGGTAGTGGGTTTGAAGTCTGATGTGCAAACTTTATTCCTTCTCCCTTTCCCAAGCAGGAAGTGACTCCGTGATGCTCTCTACTCGGAGCTTGGAGAGGGATGACACAGTGGCTCCTCACTTTCTACTTTCGTTAATGCATTTTTAAATTTATTGTGATTGTACTAAGGCCGGGCACTATGGTCTCTCACTTGGCTTCCATAGCTTTTATGAACGTGACTTGGTGAGTGAATAGCTGCTCAAGTTGGTGTCTCTGTGGGGAGATGGTCGGAGCATCTTACTCAGCCACTGTCTTCCTTTGTGCTTTGCTTTCTTGGTGCTACAGAGGCCTGAAGGATTTCATTGCCCCCTTTCCCCTGACACACACGTAGACACATGCTGATATTCACAGACACATGCAGCTGCCCTTGGAAGATTTAAGGTAGTTAACATTCTTAGGCAATAATTCACCAATGGGAATGTGCACCTGTGGATAAATGCACCTACCTTCTGTTCTCCAAGGTACAATTTGGCAAGATATCCCTTAGGCTTCTCAGAATGTCTTAGGGAATCAGGTCTGTGACCCAGCATGATGCTAAAGCCACTTCAGTTGGCTTTTTATCCTCCCCTATCTCATTCTCTCTATTCCCTCCCTTCAGTGTCACCAGATCACCTCCCAAGTATGGTACCTGTGCTCAAGGCCTTGTCTTAGGCTCTGCTTTCCAAGGAATCCAGGTAAGACACTTGTATTCATTTCCCCTTCCCCCTTTTTATGTTCATTTAGTACTTATAATAAGCCGGCACCATTGTGTGTTGTAGGTAAATCAGTGCTCATGGACTTGGTATTACAACAGATTAAAGCACAGAAAGTGATAAACAGTACGGAGATCACTGAAGCTGGGAAAATGATTGCAGAGATTGAAGGGAGGCAGCACTAGGAAGTTGCCATTTGATGAAGGAGATGGAATTTGTCCTGTGTATTGCTGGGGGCTGTGTTTTCCAACTAGCCAAGGAAACGGCCCTGAGAGCAAATGTGGAGCTGCAGGGTTGACACTGAAATTCTTGCTGTTAGCTGAAAAAGCAGAGCCTGGCCTAAAAATCAAAGTCGAAGTTTATTCAGCAACTTAAACTGAGGATTTAAACCCAGAAACCACTAGTCAGTGGTCTGAGCAGGCTGTTCCACACATCAATTTGGTTACAGGTTTTACACTTTTCTTACAGAGTGAGGATGTGAAACAAGTCAAGTCAGATTTAAATTGTGCAGATGTAAGTGTGCTTATCAATCACATTGAAAATTGAATAACACCAGCTAATAGCTAACAGACGTGATCATTGATTCAGGAAGTACATTACATTCCAATAATCCCTCCCACTTTGGGTGTTATCTATATGCAGGGAAAGGCAAACATTAATCACTTTTTCTGCAATGGCCTTAAGATGTAAAGCTCACTCCTTCTTAAGGTACAGTAGATGTTTTCTTGGTCAGGGTTGAAATCTCTTTGGAAGTTCTGTTACCTGAGAGCCAGCTGTGGGGTCTCTTTATTGTATGGATGGCATCCTTGCTGACTTTATGTTCACAGCAAAAGGTGAGGTCAGAGAAGTGATAGATATTTTGTCCTATAGGGTCATGTAGGCTGTTGAAGAAATTTAAATGAGATGAAAAATCACTGGGGTGTTCTGAAAGGAAGGATCACATGATCAGACTCATGTTCTGATAGAATTATTCTGTTTGCAGTAGAGGAGCAAAGGTAAAAATAGAAATGCCATTGAAACATCCTGCAAGAGATGATGGTGGCTTCGATCAGAATGTGAGAGTGGAAGTGGTGAGTGCTGGTCAGATGAGAATATATGTAGAAAATAGAGCCAATAAATTAACAGATAGATTAGATGTGAGATATGAAAATGAGAGAAAGTAAAGAAAACTCTTGAAACTTTTGACCTGAGCCATTGGAGGGATGAAATAGCCAATAACTGAGATGGGGCAGACAGTGGGAGGAACTGGTGTTCCTATTTAATCAAAATACCTTTTAAACATTCAAGTGATGGTGTCTGAAATGTAATTGAATTTTTGAGACTGGCATTCAGGAGAGAGATACTAGCTGGACTTGTGGATTCCAGAGTCATTAGTGAACATGATATTTATTTTATTTTTATTTTTATTTTTATTTTTATTTTTATTTTTATTTTTTGACAGGCAGAGTGGACAGTGAGAGAGAGAGAGCCAGAGAGAAAGGTCTTCCTTTTGCCGTTGGTTCACCCTCCAATGGCCGCTGCGGCCGGTGCACCGCGCTGATCCGATGGCAGGAGCCAGGTACTTATCCTGGTCTCCCATGGGGTGCAGGACCCAAGTACTTGGGCCATCCTCCACTGCACTCCCGGGCCACAGCAGAGAGCTGGCCTGGAAGAGGGGCAACTGGGACAGAATCCGGCGCCCCGACCAGGACTAGAACCCGGATTAGCCTAGTGAGCCGCGGCGCCAGCGTGAACATGATATTTAAAGCAACAAGTCTGCATGCCATCTCAGAGTACAGTGAGATACCAGGGAGAAGAGAGGAGGTTCAAGGGCTATCTCCAAGAGAAGAGGTTGGCAAGATAAGAAGAAATCAGCAAAGGAGATTGAGAATAGGCAGCTGTTGAGTAGTTGTATCTGGGACTATGTGGTCTTCTGAGACCCAAGCGAGGGAGTGTTTCAAGGAGAAAGCAGTAATCCCCCGTGTCCACCTGTGTTAACTGTGCCACCTGGTGATGTGTCTAGGAAGGATGATCTTGCACTGTAAAGATCTGGCTCTAGGTCAGACTAAATGTAAATTCCTGTGCCACTACTTGCTTGTTCAGTGTCTTTGTGAAAATTAACTTAAATCCTCTTGAATCTAGTCTTCCCATCTGTGAAATGATAATGCTAATAATTACTTGGATGATATGATGATTAAGGAAAGGGGGGTTAAAATGGTTAAATTGTTAGCACAATTCCCATCACCTGACAAACATTGTTAACTATTATTCAATATCAGGTTGTTTCCAGGTTTGGCTATTATTCATCAAGGTGCTGTTGAACATTCATGTACAAGTATTTGTGTGGATCTAGGTTTGCATTTCTTGTGGGCATATACACAGAATGTCTTTGTTATGTAGTGGGTGTTCATCTGGCTTTTTAAGAAATCACTAAACTATTTCCCAAAGTAGTTGTACTACTTCACATTCCCACCAGTAGTGGATGAGAATTCTGATTGTTTCCTATTCTTGTCAAAAAGACAGATATGAGTAGTCTACATTTTAGCCATTTTAAATAGGTGTATGATAGTAAGTCACTGAGGTTTTAATTTACAACTCTGCAATGACATATGATATTAAGCTTTTCATGTACTTACTTATTGAGCATACATTTGTATGTTTTATTGACTTCTAAGTATCTTTTTTGATAAAGCTATTTTTGAAACTTTCTGCCCATTTTTTAAAATTTATTTTTAAGGAATACAAATTTCTTAAGTACAGCTTTAGGAATATAGTTATTTTTCCCACCATACCCGCCCTCCCACCCACACTTCTACCCTTCCTCCTTCTTATCCTCTTGCCAGTTCCATTTTCCATTGTGATTCATTTTCAATTAACTTTGTATACAGAAGACCAGCTCTATACTAAGTAAAGATTTCAGCAATTTGCACGCACGCACACACACACACACACACACAAACTGAGAACTAGTTTTACAGTTAGCTCTCATAGTGCAACTCATTGAGGATGGAAGTCCTGCATGGGAGATAGTACACAGTGACTCCTGTTTTTAATTTAACAATTAAAACTCTTATGTATGATGTCAATGACCATCCAAGGCTCTTGACATGAGCTGTCTAGGTTATGGAAGCCTTTTGAGTCCACAAACTCCATCAGTATTTGGACAAGTCCAAATACTTCTCCCTTCAGAGAAAAGTACATCCTTCTTTGATGGCCACTTCTTTTCACTAGGGTCTCACTCACAGAGATCCTTTATGTAGAACATTTTTTGCCACAGTGTCTTGGCTTTCCATGCTTGAAATGCTCTCATGTCTGCCCATTTTTTAAAACTAGGTGTTTTCCTACTAACTTTGTCTTTGAGTATCTGGCTTATTTCACTTAACGTGATGATCTCCAGTTCCATCCATTTAACTGCAGATGTTAGGATTTCATTGTTTTTATGGCTGATTAATGTTCCATTTCCTCTGTGTACCACATTTTCTTTATTCATCTTTTGATGGACACCTAGGTTGATTCCATATCTTGGCTATTGTGACTAAATGGGAATGCAGGTATCTCTTTTTTCAAATGCTGATTTTAGGTCCCTCAGATATATACCCAAAAGTATGATAGCTGGGCCAAATGGTATCTCTCTTCAATTTTTTGAGAAAATTCCATACTGTTCTCTGTAATGAGTATACTAATTTGCATTCCCACCAACAGTGTATAAGAGTTTCCTTTTCTCCACATCCTTGCCAGAATTATATTTTTCTCTTTTTGATAGTAGCAATTCTAAATGGTGTGAGATGATTCCTCACTGTGGTTTTGGTTTGCGTTTTCCTAATAGCCAGTAATCTTTGAGCATTTGTTTCCTGTATTGGTTGGTCATTTGTATTTCTTCTCCTGAGACATGTCTATTAGATCTTTTGCCCATTATTAACTGAGTTATTTGTTGTTGAATTTTCTGGGTTCTGTATATATTGGATATTAACCCCTTGCCAGATGAATAATTTGCAAATATTTTCTCCCATTCTATCAATTGTCTCTTTGTTGATTTTTTGCATTGCTGTGTAGAAGGTTCTTAATTCTATATAGTCTCATTTTTCTATTTTGGCTTTGTTTCCTGTGCATTTAGGGTCTTATCCTTTGCCTATTCTGATGTCCTGAAGAGTTTTCCCTGTTTTCTTGTAGTAGTTTCAGCTTTCAACAATTAGACCTTTGATCTGTTCTGATTTGACTTTTGTATAGGGTGAATGGTAGGATGTCTTGTTTCAGTCTGCTAAATATGGATATCCAGCTTCCCCAGCATCCATTTATAGAGTCTCTATTCTGCCCCATTGGTCTGTGTGTCTGTTTCCATGCCAGTAACATGCTGTTTTGGTAACAATGGCTCAGTAGCATGTCTTGAAATCTGGTATTATTATGCCTTTGTTTTTGTTATTTCTGTTCAGCATTATCTATTTATTTCCTCTGTACTACAGAGAAAAAGTTTCTACTGTAAATACAATTAAATGAAGATTGGAGAGGCATATGTTGTGGCAATTTTCTTTAATTTTGTTCCACACATCATTTAGATATAAAGTTTAAGGAAATAATTACTTTTTTAAGTTTAAAAGCTAATGTCCTTAAATTGAAATATTATAATCAATGACCAGAAAAGCAATTGAAAAAATATTGTGATAAATTTAAACCCTAGGAAAATGTTAGCTCATTTTTTGGATGAATTACTTTTGTTACTAATGACTGTTATGATGCATTGCTACATATGTGCCTCTAAGATATTCATATATATTCTTGTTATTCTTCTACAGAGGAAGGGAAAAGTAAAAGGGTGAGATTTAATGAGAGGAAGATTTTTCTCCTAACTTGGTCTTAAAAATGAAATTTTTTCTTATACAAAATTTGTATTCAGCTGTTTATTGTGAATTGTTTCTTCTTTGAATCATATATATTGCATCTATGGTTGCCAATCTGATTATCCCATATTACAAAAATTTAGTGTCTTTCTACTGGAGTTGTTACTG